ATACAGACATAATGTATAATTCACTTACATGTATTCAAAATCCATTTTTTCTTCTATTTTTATTTTGTGCTTTCTTGTAGTGTCTGGCCTGTAAACCGCTGTGCGAAGATCAGAAGCAAAGTTACCAGGAAATTCCTGGAAGAGAAAACCAACTAAGAATTTATTATATTAGAAGTACCTTTGGCTGACTTGTATCCATCTTAGATTACAGCAGTGATAGGCAACATTTGAGGTCTGGAGGCTGCAGTTGTGCCTCCCAGCCTCTGCAAATCACAAGAGGCTGTACTGGTTTTCAGTGCATTTCGAGGAGCTGTACTAAGTATACAATTGGAAAAAGAACAACTGCCTTGGAGGCAAATTGCTTCCATTCCCCTTACAACCAACCTCCAATATCAGTCAGTGAGTAAAATATGAATTCTTCAGAGCTCCATCCAACAGACTTCAAATACAACAGAAAAAAAATACTTCACATTCACCAACAACAGTAATCCAGACTGCTTGTCTTTGAAGCAGTCCAGATAGACTTGATGGCACACAGTATCATTTGCATCATTTTTGCATCATTAATGAGGTAAAATTAATGCATATGCATAAAATGACAATTATGTGGTTATACAGATAATAAATTGGCAGAAATAACTAATTCTAAATTTAATGCATACTTTTTCCCCTCAATGGTATATTAGATTGAAATATTGTTATAATAAAAAAACTGTGCCACTGAAAATCAGCCATTTTATTTTTAAATTTTGCAGCACAATTTTAGGGTGCTGAGGACACATATATGGAGCACAAGCTGCAGGTTTCTATGCCGTGTTTTGAGCAAGCATGCTTGAATAAAATATGTAAAAATAAGTATCACAAAATATTTAATTATTACAATTTGAAATACTCTGCAACAGCAAACGCCAAATATTTATATTGTAGTCTTTATGTTCTATTAACCAATCATAGAACATGTTGCCTTTTGATTTTTTTTCCTATAAACAGAAATCTTTAAATCAAGATCATTTGCTTCCTCAAGAAGCCTAACTGAAAAAAAAGTTTGCATTTAGAGCCAAAAAGATTTTTCAGATCACTTTCAGAAACCACATTATATTCGGTACATTATATATTGTACAATCTAATAACTGAAGCCAAATCCATTTTCTCTATAAAAATTAGTAATAACATTAATTTAAGATAAAACAAACTATAGCAAGACATTAGGAGGAATTTTATACTAAGCAATTAAAATTCATTGGTTACTATGACTATTAGTGTTTCACTAAACCTAATACCATCTTATATGTACTTACTAGAAGAACATGTTATTATATTTATCATAATTATGTAGCTTTCAATAAAATAATTGCATGTACTAAAGTTTAAAAACAAGGTGCTCAGTATAAATCTTCAAATTTTAAAGTTCTCACTGGTAGGTTCTCATTTTCTTCAGAACTAGAAGTTTGTTCAGGTTTGACAAATTTTCCTTTCTCCATATGGGGTATTTTGGTATCTTTTGGTCCATGTTCAAGACGGGAAATCAGAGGTTTTTGTTGAAGTCTTGTTTTCTCATCCATCTTGTAAGTTTTATTCTAATATTAAGAGAATTAACAAAAACAACAACAACAAATGATCAATCATGGCAAACTATTTTCAGATTCCTTTTTTATCAGCTAGTAGATGAACAGCATTCAGGCTCCTTATTTAAAAGACCAAATTAAAGAAGAAGGGCTTTCACTTCTCAGGATTTTCTATTAAAAACAGACAGACATCAGATTTTTTTTTAATAAGACACTTTTCAAAAAAAGATAGATTTTTATTTATATTGTGAAATCAGATTTTTCTTCTTCTTTTCTTTTGATCCTGAATTCCCTGCATAGTAGAACCTAACAAAATTCTACTGTCCTTACTTTATTGAAATAAAAAAATAAAGAAGAGGGAAAAATATTTTGTCTTTAAACAAAATGTTTTTTTTAACCCGTATTTACTCCATGTTCAATTTCTAGGTCTGTTTTGGAACTATAGTAACAATATGTTAAAAATATGTGTCAAAGTGACTCATCCAGTAACTGATGTCTTTACTCATTCTAGTTGCTGAAAATACTTACCATCTTTTATTAGGTGGGGTTTTTTTTAGGTTTGTTGTTTTAATCAGAAAAGTTTTCACATCAAGCTCTAGATACTGCTATGGCATAACATAAGGAGGGATTGCAAGAGATAGCAGGTTCTGTAATTCCTATTAGTTATAATTACTACTTGGAATTTTTAGCTCCCAGAAGCAGAAATATGAAAGTAGACTATAAGCATCATGATCTGCTTCTGAGCTTCCCAATGGCACATTATTTACTATTGTTAGAAGTACAATATGAGACTAGTTTGATCCTATGACATTAATATATTCACAGTCTCTGAAAAAGGCTGATCTGACATCTTAGATCATCTGAAGTGGAGAGGAAATATATGAATGGGCGTGGATTGCTGCTAAAAAGAACTTCCCTATCATAATGCCTTAACTCTTAGGTCCCTTCCTGTGATTTACACAGCTATGCATGGAAACTACAGGAAATCTCTTTATAAAAGCAAAAAACATAATGTAAGTATATAAGTACTGGACTAGCATGCCTATAAAACCTACCATTACCAAGAATTGGACTGAGAATTATTGATGGGGATGAATTCAATTATGCCTACTGGGCTATTCTCAGAATATTTCTCTCTGAGTGGAATTGGGCTCAGTAGTGTAAATGGATTTTCCAATTCTATGATTCTATGTAAAGAAGAAACAAAGCACTTCTGCTGGTCCTGAATTTGCTGCATAGTGTAACATGACAAAATGCTATTGCCTTATCTTTTTCTGAAATTAAAAAAACAAAGAAGTAAGAGGGGTGAAAAGAAAAATTCTGGTGAAAACATCTCCATGTTGTGCCACAAGGGCCAAAGTTAAATAAGAGTATAGTAAAAGATATGTTTTTCAAAATGAATAATTATAAATTAGACTTAAGTCAGAGCATCTTTGTAATCTTCCATATAGAGGTGCCAGGTCTGCATTCACTGTCACAAAGACCTCTAAGGCAACACAGTTCCCTAGAAATGATATCATACCAGCTTTATCTCTCATCTATCATTTGTGAGTATCTCAGTATTTCCTATATATTCTGCATTTTTTTTAATATGGAACTATCTTTTGGCCAACATATTCTGCATGCCTTCTCCTGCCTTCAGTTCTAAACATAATTACAATATTGCTTCTTCACCAATTATAGATCCTAAGATGAAGATTATTTTGCCCTTTTTGTTACCTGAAGTGAAAGAGACAGTATAGTATAGAAATAATCTCAGCAATGGATAAAAATCAAGGATACAAATTGTGCAAATAAAATAAAGGCTTATACAAACCTGCAGGCTAGAAATTTGATTTTGCCTTATTCTGTCTCTAGTATTTGATCAACATGCTTAGTGGTCAATAATATAATTATTCTTAATTATATTCATTATCTAATGAAAGCAAGGAATAATGAGTATTAAATTTTATGTGGATGCTGAATCTCTCAGACTTTGGTTCCATTATGTGTTCTAGTATTAAAAAGATACAGAATGTCAGTTGAATCCATCCGTTAATCAAAAACTTGTCTACAATTCTGCAGACAATTCACAGAAATTGCCAAAATTAGTTGTAATCAGTTTCACTTGAAAGCATACATGCTGTATCTTCCAACTCTCCTACACATAGCCAGATATTAATTGCATGATAATTCCATAATTTTCCTTTCAGAATGCTTAGACCATTCTCTAGAGCATTTTTTCCCAACCTAGGCATTTTTTAGATATGTGGATTCCAATGCTTATAAGTCTTAGCAATGTCCATGCTGTATGAGAATTCTGCAGGTTCAAGTTCACACATCTCAAAATTGTTCAGGTTTAGAAACAATGCACTAGAGATATCTAAACTGCTAAATCTGTGATTGTGATGACTTAGTGTGTACAGACAGATTTGAATATGTGATTTGTCAGCTTCATATGGATACAACTCCATTCAGTTACGCTGACCCTACTCCAAGGCAAGAGATTACAGGGTCATAAAAAGAAAAAAATGTGGATACAATGTCCACAGTTTTGTACCATGGTGAAGCCTGATTTGGTTAGTTCCATAAAATTACATGAATCCATCAAATAAACCAACCTAGCTTCGAAAGGTAGTTTGGTGGTAGTTAAAAGTGCTGGCCTAGAAACTAGTACCGCTTTAGACATGAAAGCCAAGTGGGTGACTTTTAGCTGGTCACTCTTTCTCAGCCCAACTTATCTCATAAGGTTGTTGTGGGGAAAATATGTATCTGTGCTGCCTTGAGTTACTTATAAAGTAATAAAGGCAGGATAAAAATGTAATAAATGAACAATTATGTGTTGGCCTTTGGCTGTAATAATACATTGAATAATAAATGAACAAGCAGCATTATAGACATGATGGTAACATGTAATGATGGGCTCATGTGCTTCCTACTTAATTGGTTATATGAAATTTGGAGGAATCGTGTTTGAGTAAAAGGAGCCAAGTTTTATCTATATTCCCTTTATCCTGAGCTAAAAGTTCCAAATGAAATTTATCTTTTTCAACACCACTTCATCATTTTTCACCAGCACAGCAGAGAAATACTATTCTGGAGGGGTAGAGATGTACTGAACCCATCAATAAGTCCATAGACGTACATGCACGTATTTTGTAACATATATACTTTTAAAGTCACCTTAAAAATCTAGCTCTTCAAGTCACATTAAAACGATCGGTTTTGCTTTGCTTTTCTTTTTTTCGTTTTCCTCATGGGAAGGCTTTTTTCAATTTCCTTGGTTTTCAAACAACTGCAAAACAACGAAGAGTTCAACGAAGGTGACAATTCTGCGCAAATCTCCTATTTCCTACTCTTCGTGCTTAAACGCACGACCTGAGCGACTATCTTAATATAATAATATAATAATATAGTAAAATTGAACAATTATTAGAACAATGATTTGTCTGCATAACTGCAATAATGATGTGTCTGCATAATTGCTAGAACAATGATGTGATGCATAATCACTGGGAAAATTCACTGGGAAAGTTCTCTTGTCAGTAATATGTGGCAACCTAATGCGCTCTGCACATGGATACTTTGTATGTAGCAAAACCTTCCATTGTATGCCTGTGAGAAACGTTCCTAATGTATCACAGTGTGTATTTCAACGTGTGGCCCTTTGTTCTTTAAGGAGGGGAGTATAAAAACTGAAGTCTAATCCCGCCCTCCTCGTTCAGAATTGCCTATCTCTAATATGCTCTGGACCTTGCGCAATTAAACTTCTCTGCTAACCCCTCCGGAATTCGTAAGAGTTCTTGCGTTTTCCACAAGAATCTCACTGCGCCGCCTCCTCCTCTAGTCTTCATGTCTTCGCAATTCCGGTCTATGAAACTGCGCTGGTTCTTCCCCTCAAAGACGGAAAACTCACCATTGTCCTCCGCCAGACAGTCGGTCCCACCTGCTTCGCTGCCGCCGCCGTCGCGGGCGTGAGAGACCGTTATTCCAACGGGGGTGGGGGGGGAAGCGCCTCGCGCCTCGCGCCGGCTCCCGCCTTCTGCCATCCACGCGCTGCCTTGGCTGCGGAGGGCGCGAGCTCGAGCGATAGATACAGGGGTTCTCAACCTTGGCAACTTTAAGACTTGTGGACTTCAACTCCCAGAATTCCTCAGCCAGCTTTGCTGGCTGAGGAATTCTGGGAGTTGAAGTCCACAAGTCTTAAAGTTGCCAAGGTTGAGAACCCCTGCGACAGAGGGTCGCGAGGCGGGCGGAGGAGGCGTTGTGGCGCAAGAGCTCGAGGGGGCTTAGCGAGCGCGGCCTCTCGAGGAAGGTCTTCAGGCGCGCCTCGATTTCTAAGAGGGTAAAGCGAGTTGGGGTGCTTTCGTCCGAGCACCATCCTGGGCGGAAGGGGGGTGGGTGAGAGAATCGTGAGCGGTGCGAGTATAACAATTATAATAAAGAAATGTGATTTCGTTCTACTTCTCCGGAAATGGAAAATAAACAAACCTCTTCCGCCCTTGTATAACGAGGATGAAATCGTTGTTACCTAAGTGACAGTGTCTTTAATAGTGCTTCGAATCTGCGTCCTGAAGCAGGTGCTCTCAACTGTGTATTATTTTACCATTTTTATGCTTCTTTTAAAAGATACGTTATGTCTTACTAAAACATTTCACTGTCTTTTGCAGAATATTCATTGGCTTCGTTAATTAGGATAGCTTCTTTTGTTTTGATCTGGTTTTGATTACTGTCTTCTGCCAGGCTTTTACTTACATATGTCATTTTATATATTTTGGTTCTTAGTTTAAGCTACTCAAAGTCATATGAGAGTCAGGCAGCCAATTAATTAATGTGTGTATTACAGTATATGGCGCTGGCTTCATTCAATCCTGTCCATATTCTAATTTAAATACTATGTAGTTCAAGGAGAATTTCTCTCAAGTTTGTATAGTATTGCATCTATAGTTTTCATTCTCTTACCTGTGTTTAGTATTTTATGTCCTATTTGAGAAGCGATTTGTAACTTTGATGAACTT